AATAATAGTATAATAATAATAATAATAATAATAATAATAATAATAATAATAATAATAATAATAATAATAATAATAATAATAATAATAATAATAATAATAATAATAATAATAATAATAATAATAATAATAATAATAATAAAAAGAAAAGACTGACCGATTTTTCAATAAAAATTAATAATTTTTGCTTTTTATTAATATTTTTTCATTTAAAAAAGTTTCATTTTTTTCCACTTTGCCAACACGCAATGTTTTATTTATTTATTTTTTTTGCTTTTGCGTTTTTTTCTTCAGTCATTTGTTAATTTTGTTTGCAAAATTACTAAAATTATTAATGGAAAATTACTAAAATTATAATGTTATGCATATATCAAAAATTGTTTCTATAACTTTCTTGTTTCTTTTTTTCCTTTTTTTAATTTACATAAATTATTTGTGATGAATTTAGCTTGCATCTAATTACGGTAGAAATATTTAAAACTGAAATGTATTTGCGCTTAAATACTCTGACTTAATTATTAGAAGTATTAAAATTGTGCTATTAACTGGTCAAATGTTATCATCCCTTGTTTACTTAAACAAATATCAAATTCACAAGCCTTAGTTTATCGCGTGTTATTAATGCTTTGCTCTAAACAGTTGTACATCATAAGCTATAATCTTTTCAATTCATTAAAGCTTCATTATCTGTGCTTGGTTTTTTTCTTACCATCAAACTAGCCTAATGTATCAATAATTCGAGTAAACTTATCATAAAAGTTTAGATATGATAAATGATAAGCAACAAGCAATGTATTAGATTTGCATTCAGGTTTAACGCTAGTTAAACCAAAAGTAATTAAGTAGTAATAGGATCATAAAACTCAACAGGCTTTTGCATTCACATTGAATAGACCAAAAAAATAAATTACTTCCATGTTCATGTGATTGATACGTAAAGATAATTTAATAGTAATAGGACCATGAAATCAATAGATATGATATTTACGTTAAATAAACTCTAAAAACAAAAAAGTTTTTGCTTTGCTATTAAATCAATCCAATCTGTTTGTGTTAATTTGTATTGTTTTTAAGTTAAACTAAAATATTCACGCAATTTTTAACGTAATAAAACATCTTACGTCATATAAACAATGTTGCCGAAAACGATTCCATCAATTATTTATCAAATTCAAGTGCGATACATCAAAATATGTTCAATAAAAAACAATTGTGTAGTAAATAGAAATTAAATCACTGGAATGATTTAAAGTAGAAAAAAAACTTTATTATTTTTAGAAAAGAAAAAAACAGAAAATGATTTGATTATTTAACAATTATTGAGAAGAAACATAAATGAATAATTTTAAATTAAAGGCACAAAATCAAATCTTTAAATGGGATGAAAAAAGCATTTACTTTGAGTAAAACATAAAACAAAGCGTAATTAAGTTAATTAATTTATATTTTTCGTCAATTGCTGTAATTACTATAAAACTGACTTTTTTTTCAGTTTTTGTAATATATTTATTCCTAAAATATTAGCACATATTTGCTAGACGGAATCACAATGCCATTTGCAATCTTATTTTGAATTCATTATGGAATTTGCTAATTATTTTGCTTATAATTTAAAAATTATTAAAATCTTCCCGCCCTTACAAAAACTATTTCAATGTTGAAGTAAAAAGGAAAATAAAAGTTCTTATTCTGTTAATTGCCTATTTGGTCTTTTCGACAACCGGAATTAACCGTATAAATTGCTAACATGAATTTAATGGTTCGGAAATGTGAACAATTATACCGGAACGATTATTGAACAATGACAATTTTTTGAATTATTGCATGATTTTCTATATGCTTTAAAATTTAAAATTTTTTTAATTCCAAAACTAGCACAATCAATTTTGCCCCCTAATAGTTTCACATTAATTGCACAAGAAGAATATTTTAAATTTTTGTTACAACAAAACCTAAGATATGTTTATAACAAAGAATTAAATTTTTAAAGTTTGAAGAAACAGTTTTTATGATAATGAAAAAATAACAAAAAGTTATATCTAATCAATAAAATATCAAAGTTATCTTATGGAAATGAAATTACACCTTTTTTGAAAAAAGTGTTAACTGTTAAAATTGTGCAATGTTTTATACTTCCATATTTATCATAATATCAGCCATATCATTAAGAAGTGTGAATTATAATTAAGCAAGTAATTCAATAAATTAATTGTAGATTGACTAATTGCAAAGTTTTGAAAGGGAATTTTCGAATTTTGGCATAGATTTCAAGATTATTGTCTTTCCTCTTTCCACGGAAAACGTCTGCGTAATTTACAATATGAAGGCTACAATAATAACAGCAATATTACGGTAATCTAGAACTCATCAAAATGGTTAGGAATCATTCAAGTAAGCAATGATTTAACAAATTGATTTTTTTTACGAATGCAATCAGTCCTATCAGTAAAATCGGAAAATAATCGTGTAATTCTTCGATATTTTTGAGAATTATCTAAGAGGTCTGAATTTTGATTAAGTAAATAATATCAGCAATTAATTATAAGTTGATTAATTGTATTGTTTTGGCAGGGGATTTTCGAATTTTTATATAAATCTCAAGATTATTATCTTTCTGTTTTTTCCACAGAACGATTTGTGAAATGAAATTATGCAAATGAATGTTACATTTAAAAAATATGAAAACATAGTGATAAAAATTGAAAAAATTTGCAGAAAAAGAAACCAAATAAAAATTAAAATAGCATTTGAAATAAAATTAATATTGTTTCATTCAGAATCGGATGTTGCTTCAGTTACGTGAACATTTGGTGCTTCTACACGTGCTTTAAGATGATGAATACCTTTAAATTCTTTTCCAATATGTTCTATCGTATTCTTCCATTGCTCATGTTCCGATTTATCAACTGCTGATTTACCGAGATATACCGAACCAATTAAATCATCACCAGCAATTGTTCTGAAACAGGAGTAAATTAATCGGTAAGACAAAAAGTAATTAACTCAAATAGATTTATAAAAACTGATAAAAAAACAACTGTTACTTTTTTTAAAAGAAAATTTTTTTTAAAAAGAAATAATTTCAAAACTTTCTTTTAAAATACTTTAGAGCCTATGCAAATCATGCAAAAAAAATACATGCATAACATGCAAATTCAACTTTTTGTCATAAAAATGAATCAATAAAGGTATTTGCAACAATATTCATTATAATATCGACGTATTATCAACACCTTTAACAGCAAACAAATTTCAACTTCAAACCATACTACTAAACTTATTTAACTTTTAATTAGGAATTTATGAACACATGATTATCAGTTATATCTATTATCTTTTCTTTAATCATATCTTTAATTTACTTCATCATACTTATCAGTACCTTCCAATTTAGTATTCTTCCTCAATTTGGTGCTATCATTATCTTCAATTCTTCCAATTTACTCAGTGATATTTCGTAATATATATATATTATTGCTAACTTTTAATTTACTCAGCATTCTTCAAATTATATCAATAAATTAATGCAATTAGTTTGATTGGTTAGGCTTGATTAATTTAAGTTTAATTAACGTTTGATTAATATGCACTGATATATATCATTTATTAAATAAGTTAACATTCATTTTTCACTCAAATCATTCAAATATAAGCAAAAGTATATTTGCATATTAACAAATATATTATTGAAATTATTGCAATAATTCCAGAAATCCATATTTAATATAAAATTTTGTATAATTTCATTAAATTGCACAAAATATATGCCACAATAAAACTATTTAATTACTTTGGAAAATTGTAAGTAAATATGGATTAATTAGAGATAGTTTAAAATGTTTTTGTCTCTTTTACTATGTATGTATAACAATTGTGATATATTGAAATGTAAAGTAAGTGATGGCTAAAATTTAAGTGTTTAATTCATAAAGAAAACAAAAAAAAGTACTAGTTTAAATAAAAAACAAATAAAATTTTAAACTATTCGAATTCGTTTCAATTTTATATTCAAATTTTATTGCAAAAATATTTAACGTTTACAATGCATGTAAAACAGTTTGAGCGGATATGTGCAAATATCTGATTATTTCACGTAAGTTAGACGTAAAAGCATAAGAATATTTCACGGAATTTTACGTTAAAATGTAGCAATTAATACCTTGTCAAATCATGGACGGAAATAACAATGCTGGTATTACCAAGATCAGCTGGTTTTGTCTTTACCAAAAACATAATAGCTTCTTTATACGTTGCATTACACGTTCCTTTAATTATTCGACTTTGTTTTGTTTGCGTTACGTTGCCTTGCGTTAATAGTACTCGAACACATACATCTGATTTAAAAATTTTAATTAGAAATTAATTCTGAAAAGGAAAAAATAGTAACGAAATTATTGGCATTTCGTTTTAATTAATGCATTCATCAGTAAAGTGTAAAATTTCAAATTTAAATAAGTTTTTTAAAATATCAATGAATTTTAAGTAAATTTTTCGAAATAATAATTTAGTTTGGAAATTCGAAAAACCTGAAAATTTTGAAAAAATTAAATTCGAGAATTTGCAAATTTAAAATATATGAATATATGTATATGAATTATTCATCAAACATCATTACTTACAAGTGTTTTTCCAGTTTATAATTATTTTCAAATCAAAATATTTTGATAAACTATAGCTTCAGGAAATATAAATTAAATTCTAATTCTATTTGGTACTAACTGTATTTCATCATTAAATATTAGTAATAACAATAAAAAGCAGTAATTAACTATAATTAAATATAATGGTAATTGCAAAGAACAGTATCAATGTATTAATAGTAATCAAAGATCAATATTAAAATTTAAAATGAATTTATAAATGGTTCACTTTTGAAATCATTCTGTTCATAATCATCAAAACTTTTTCATATCATCTGGTTTTTTCGGATGAAAGTAATTAATTTAAAAACTGAATGGGTGATAATTATTTCAGTCGAAACAAGTTTTTAATTTTCGATGGAAGCATTTAATGAGAATTTTTAAATACTTGCATTTTTTTCAGTGTTAAATCCTAATGAAAATTGCGCAAATTAAGAAATAAAACTGACAAGAGAAAAAAAAACAAGATTAAAATTTCAAGTAATAATGGATTGGATTAAATTTCAATGTCCTTTTTACTTAAATTCAAAAAATGGTAAAATAGCCATTATTTATCAAATTTCGTTTAATTTCTTTATTTATTTATAATTTGCATTTTTCATCATTCTTCATAAATGATATATGCCTACAATACGATGTGAGAAAGTTCCCCTTAATTTATCAATTTTCACGCAAAATTTTTCAATTAAAATTTTTGCATATTTTGAATGAAATTTTTTTTAATTTTATTTTCATAAAAAAAAAAAATCAAAATTAACGGTTCTCTTTTTTCCAATTATTTCTATTTCAAATAACAACATCAGGAATTCACGCATAAAATTTGTGTTGCCTTTTTTCTTGCTAAAAAGAACTAAGCTTTTAAAATTTTCACTTTCTATTGTTTTCATAAATATGATAATTTTTAAGAAAAAATTGACGAAAAATAATAATAATAATATGAGTACTTTCAACAATAAAACAACTTCTTCGTTTTGTTATTATTTTCAAAAAAAAAAGCTAAAACACAAAGCATTTTTCACTTTTCATATTATTGTAAAAACAAATTTCGAAATTATTTGGAAAAAAAATGACATCTTTTAAAATTTCAAATACATTGTTTACTACAATTCATTGCGAAATGTTGCATTGAGATAAACGAATATGACTTCTTCAATTTGATTTATGAAATTCTGAAAATATTCCTTTGAAAGATAATTAAATTTGAAGTGGTTCGTTTGCTTTTGAAGCTTAAAATATAAAATAAATAAAATTATTTTTTCCCTATTCCTTTGCTTTCAACTTACTTTTCTTTCATTCCTTTTACCTCTTCTTCTTCTTATACAACACAAATAATTTATGTTGTTATGATTTTTGATGGACAATTTCTCTCCATCTCTCTCTCCTGTCCACTCTTTTTGTAAACAAAATTATTTAGGGGTTTCCAGGAGAAAAAAATTCTTCCGCTTTTCCCTGACCTAAATTTGTACATAATCAAATTTTGAAGTTAAGATTTTAAAGAAAATGAATGTCTTTTTGATAATTGAAAAATTATATCTCCCATGAGATTTGGCCAGAAAGTATCATAATACATAGCCACAGAACTCAAAAAAAGCAAAGAAATGAGATTTGGTCTGAAAGCACAGTAATAAATACTCCCGGAAATCTCAAAAAAATTAAATAAATGAGATTTGGTCCGAAAGTATGATAATAAATACTTTCGGAAATCTCAAAGAAATTAAAGAAATGAAATTCGGCCTGAAAATATGATGAGATATTTTCACGGAAAATCTTGCAAGAAATTGATTATATTACAAGGAAATGCAAACGACATTAAGTCTTAATTAGCGAAATGAAATAATTATAATGAAAAGAGTACTGTAAATCCCAAAGGTGATATTATGAAAAGTGTTATCTCTAAATTGATTGGATTGAGAAAATAATTGGTGGTAATAATCAACAAATAATAAATGAATGATTTGCAATTGAATTTTTGATTGAGTAATAATTGATTTGAAACAAAATTTCCAATTTTTTCTCTTTTCAAAGTATAAAATTTTGAAAGTAAAACAAAATTTGTTAGGATTTCTTCGTTTTTTTTCTCCCCATTTATTATTTTAATAAAAATTTATAAACATAGTTGAGATGGGCAATATTTTCGAATAAATTTTTGTAATTTTAAAATAAGACCATAAAATGACATTTTTGATTTCATAAATTTTTAAAATTTACTTACCAGGTGGTCCGGTGATACCACCTTTTGGCAAATCTTCCACTTTGATAATATTAATTGTTAAACGACTTGCTCTTATTTCCAAACATGATGCTATGTATAATTTTCCTAATTTCTGAAAATAATATTACAAAATATTCCAGTTGGAAAAAATATAGAAAAAATAAATTTATTTTTATTAAATTAATAGCGAGAAAAATTTACATACTATTTCCATCCATGCATAATTATTTGCGTATCATACTCACTCATAATATTTTGATCTTGAAGTGTAATTCCACACTTGTTTTTTTCCCTGGTATTTTTTGAACGATATTTTTCTTTATTTTTCAATCACATAATAATAAAATATAGCAGTATTGATTTTCTTGTTTTTTTTTTTTTTTGATTTTGGTGATCATCGCAATCGATCGATATAGCTGCAATTATTGTAATAAAGTTTGGGATAATATTCATAATAGTTTCGTAAGGAAAAAGATTTTAGCTTTAGATTATGAAATGTTTTGTAATTAAAATTTGAAATAAATGTTACAAAATAATTTTCGTTTTTCTTCTTTTCTTTTTATCATTGTTATTCGAAAATAAATGAAAACAGTAAACAAAGCGAAATGTCGAAATGGCAGGATGCCATAATAGAACAATAGAAGTGATTTCTCGAATATAATATTATGACGGGAAAAGGTCAATCGGGAGGAACAGGGGAAAGGTCAAAACAAGACCAAATGCATTTTGCAATTTTGGCTATTGTTTCTATAAAAATGCAAGGAAATTGATTCATTGATAGATTTTGTTAACTAAATAAGCGTAAAAATTTCGGAATTTAAAATATTTATTAATTTAAAAAAGTATTTTAATATATGTTTAAATGTTTCGAGAAACCTGAGGAAAATTCTCATTTGTGAGAAAAGAGAAAATTTTGGTATTATTTGGATTTTCGAAATTATTTATCTTCTAATAATATAAAATGCGTATTTGAATTAATGGAATTTTTTTTTCTTTTTACGCGATAAGCCGGGAATTTGCATAAGGAATAGTTCAGTCCCGTTCCCTTTACTTCTTCAAATTTTCATTTCCATGCAACTTGAATAGATTATAAAGTTTTTTTTTTTAAAAAAATTTTCACAAAAAAACCACTTATTTACTCTTGTCATTTCCGTTCTTTTCCATCCTCTTTAAATCACTTTCTTTTTTCTTTTTTTCTTTTTTTTGCCTCAAAAGTACAATTTTTAAAAGCGATTGAAAAAATTTTTTGAAATATGAATATTAAAGATTCAAAAAGAGATATGAGAAATTTTGCGAAGGAATAAAAAAAAGTGCAAATATTTAGTGTAGTAATACGAATAGATCAAAAGCTTTTTTAAGAATTTAAATTCAAATTCAGATTTTTTATCTGAAAAGAATTTTGCATGCAGCAGTATAAATGATCCAAAAATATGGATCTGAAAGTATTTCGCATTTTTCATCAATAATAGAAGTACTTTCTACTTACGTAATTCGCCTATAATTATTTGGGAAATTGCCTCCGTTACCGTACTTTTAATATTAATTTTAGGCTATTATTAAATAAAAAGCCTTATTTGTTTGGCAAAATGGACAAAACATTTTTCATCATATAATGGACTTGTAAAAACTTTATAAAACCATCCACATGATATCAGAGATGAAAACTGATAGGAAATTAATAACTTATGATAACAAAAATTGAAATGTGGACTGACTAGCATAAAAACGCAAGTAAAAATTGCCTATCTTGCTTTTTAAATTACATTTAAATTTTATTGTCATTTGCATTTCATTTATTTCAGGCTAAAATTATTCTCTGCAATTCGATGAATTATTCAACATAAAATTTTCGAATTCATCGAAATTTCTCACTTGGAATTTTTTTTTCAGCGATATTCGTAAAAAATTTTTTTTTTTTTTTTTTGAATAGATTAAAAAGGAATTCAAAAACGATTTGCAAATTTTAAAACTTTGAACAGATAAATAGACTGACTAATTATTTCTAAGAGTAAATTAATTATGCTAAAAATCAAATATCCTTTTGCATAAATATGGCAGTATATTTTATTTATCTTTCTCAGCTATATTATTGTCGAATTAATTTTAATTAAATTAAGCATAGTGTCAAAAATCATGTTTTTTCATTGTTTTTGAATTTTTGTATTTAGGAATATAAGAAAGAAATTAACACTAAATTTTTTTGTAATTCGAAATTTTTGAGGATTAAAAAGAATTATTTGAGAAAATTTCTCTTTTATAATTTCCCAAATTTATAAGAATTTTGAAAAGAAATTTCAAATAATTTGTTATAGTTCTGAAAGAAAAAAGCAACGAGTGTAGAAATAGCGAAAGTTATTTTATTTACAATTTGAAATGCTTTTTTAATAAAAAAGCACAAAATTTATAATTCAATTTTTGGTTGTTCAAAAATTCGTTTTTTTATCATTTATAATGAATTTGATTAAATTTGACTATATTTTTCCATGTTAGAAAAACGTAATTTTTTTTTCTTTTTTTTCGTTTGCAAATTAATCGACCTATTCCTTTTTGAGATGTCATCTTGCTCAAATTAAGACAAACAAAAAAGGAATTTTAAGCAATTTTGTGATTAAATATTTCACTTCTCATATTTCCAGCTTAATTTTCAAATAGATCAAGAAGAATTAATTGGATTTTTGCACTGTTTAATGGAATGATTTCAGAAATTTTCCTCTATTTTATAATATATGCCATGATTTTTTAAAAAATTTCAAAATAGTTTTAAAACAATCAATTAAAATTTTTAATTTTAAGCAGTAAATGTTTCAGATCAAATATTTATTTGCATCCAAATTTAAATTTTTAATTGAAAAAAAAACAACAAAAATTTTCGTCTTTCCAAGAAAAAAAAGATTTTTTGCTCTCATGAAGCTTTGTATTTTTTTTAAGCATAAATTTTAAATTTAACGTTAATGCTTGTTCCACTTGCTCTAGCATTAAATGAAACTCTATTAGTTAATTTTAAAAAATTTGAAGTGAAAAGAAAGGAAAGAAAATAAGCAAGTCTTTCTTCTAATTGTAACAAATATTATTTCTAAACATGGGAAATAAAATAAAAAAAATGGTTAATTTATGTTAAAATGTTACTTTTGACGTAAATAATTTTTTCATAAATATATCTAAAAGTGAATGGATTAATATCAATAAAAGAAATGAAATAAAAATTTTAAAAAAAAGAAAACGAAAAGTTTTTTTTTTTTACGACGCAATTAAAACTAAATTCGCTTTTCTTGCCATTTTTTTTCGAAAAAAAACTCCATTTTAAAAATTACCTTTTCTTTCACCTAAATGTCCTTTTATTCATTCATTCTTTTCTTCTTTCAGTTTTTCTTTTTCTTTTTCTTTTCCTTTTTTTTGGACATTTAACAATTCGTTTTTCAAAAAAAAAAGTACATTTATCCTTCCAAAACGCATAAAAAAAAACGCAAAAAAAAATTTATTCTTTTGAAATTCTATTAAAATTCAATTTCAATAAACCCTATAATACTATTAAATACTGTTCTTTGTTTGGGAAAAATGAAACTCCCAACTTTTTTCTTCTTTTTACATCAAAGTTAGTTAATGTTTGTAATAATTCATCATTTTTGAAAAAGAAAGTGAAAAATGTTACGTATCTTTAAAAAAATCAATCAATATTGCCATATGTGAGTGTTACAGAAAAAAGAAAAAAATGAAAAAAGAATTTCTAAAAAAATTTCTAATATTAACCTTTGAATTGATGCAATATTTTAATTCTTCGACAATTTTTACTTCCTTTTTAGCTCGTAATTCACTCAAACTTTTCAGTGATACATACAAATCACCAATGACAACGTCTTTTTGAAGTTTTTGGGGTGATTGATGACAAACTGTTATTGCCAGACATTTTTCACTCAAATCTTCCACCAATACATTATCGAAAAAAAATTCCTGTAAATTTTGCAATCGTTTAATAAATTATACTAAAATTTTTTACTTCTTTCAAACAAAAAGAAAAAAATCGATACTGTTATTCTTTAACATTACACCAAAAAAAAAGGATCATCATTAGCACTATTTTAAAATTTTGCAAAAAAAAAAGAAAGAAAAGAGAAAGAAGCAATCATTTTATTCTTCTTTAAATCAATATTTAGATTTGTTTTGTTAATCAGTACGTCATCGGAAACTAATGTAAAATTAAATTAGACTAAAAGCAAATTCTTCTGTTATTTCTGAAACTTTCATGAAAAGAAAAGTTTGCATAATTAGAGTTTCCAAAAAAAAAAGAAAAAGAAAAAAAAAATTCCAATATTGTGTTAAAAAAACCAGAAACGGTACAAATTCAATTCTATTTCATCGAAATTTGATTTATTTTTACTTGCGGTATGTTCATTTCTCCAAATGCCTAGTGAAAAGAAATCAAATTTCCAGGCTTTTTTCCTTTTTTGCATGAAAAACTTGGCTAATTATTTTGTCATATCAATAGGTACAATGATTTGACACGATATTAATTAGGTTTTTATAAAAAGAATTTTTTACTTTTCAATGCATGAAATTAATTGAAAAATAATTTGTTTCTGGAAGTCGATTTTTTAAAATTTCAAAGTATTTTTCGTTTTTTTTCATATTTTTTTTTATATGAAAATAATTGTATTATTGAAAGCCAACAAAAATTTTCTGAAAAAATTTCGATCGCTAATTATCGTTACGCTAATTAATTATCCGCTTCAATTATTTATTTTTCATTACGCGAACTCCGTCGAAAGATATTCATCTTCTTGTGGATTTAAATTTGATTACTTGCACTTCTTTTTTTTTTATTTTGATTACTTGCACTTCAAAAATTAACACTTTATTAATTACTGTCATCAATATTACACCATTGTTATCATTAATTAAGTATTTGAAATAATGAAAAATTCCTGCAACCTGATTAAATGCAACATCACGACCACGTTTTACAATTGAATTCTGTGATTTACCACCTGGTATCAGTGATATTTTGCAAAAAGCATGGATCTCTAATTCAGGCTTTAATTTACCTGCCAATCCTGAAAGATTATTTTGATGTATGACAAATTAATTATTAACATGCACAAACACATGTCCAATATGTATTAGAAAACTAATTATATGTTGTTTAACCTTTAATTTTTAGATAGATTAAATATATCGATAAACTGGATGAATAAACTGATAGATTAGATAGACAAATAGATAGATTCTATCTATAGATAGAGATAGATCTATCTAAATAGATAGATAGATTCTACTTATAGATATAGATGTATCTAAATAGGTAGATAGATTCTACTTATAGATAGAGATAGATGTATCTAAATAGATAGATAGATTCTACTTATAGATAGAGATGTATCTAAATAGGTAGATAGATTCTACTTATAGATAGATGTATCTAAATAGATAGATAGATTCTACTTATAGATATAGATGTATCTAAATAGGTAGATAG